ATTGATCTTCAAACCTACTCTCTTCAGACCATTACTCAGCAAGGCCTTGGTCACTGCCAAGCTGTCGCCAGAGGAAGTGGCTCCCGAGCCACAAGGAAATCCCTCTAGCCAAAGGGATTCGCTCTTCTCCAAGCCTGTAGTGCATGCAGAGGTTTTGCCTTCTCCCATTTTGTTCCTCGACATGGTCAAGGAACAGTTCGCTTCTCCTTCGGCAGGTCCTCACCCATCTTCTCTAGATAAGCGTTTCTACAATGTCAGCACAGCTCTGGACAATGCCCTGGCAGTGCCTTCTGTTGACATTCCGGTTCTGGCCTCGTTCTCATCTTCTGGCACTCCCACGGAGCCAGAAGATATCCTGAAACTGGATGATAAACATTCCGAACAGACCCTCAAGCGCAATCACCAGGCTGCTGCTTGGGCTGTTCGAGCTTCAACAGCAGCATCCTTCTTCACCAAGACATCCATATGGCGGCTGCGCCAACTCCAGAATAGATTGCCTGCTTCTGACCTTCGGTCTCACCAAGACCTTAATAAGATTATTGCAGCGGCGGAATTCACTGCGGATGCCACTCTCAACTCCGCCAAATTTGCATCCAAGGCCATGGCATCTTCTGTAGCAGCAAGAAGACTTTTATGGCTCCGAAATTGGCAGGCGGAGTCACGCCGAAAATGGAAGCTGGCTTCAGTTCCTTTCGTAGGCGATAAGCTTTTTGGCGATGCTCTGGAACCTTATTGAAACCAGAGATAAACGTAAAATTCTCTCTTCCTCTGGGAAGAAAGCCGACTATCACCCTGCTCCTTATCGCCCTCCTGCCTACCGAGCGGAGACCTCATCTCGCTTCCCCCGCTCTCACAGGCCATACTCCCAACGCCAAGACCAACGGGCGGAAACATCTGGCAGGCAACAACCTTCTGCTAGTAAATGGCCCTTTCAGGAGGGAGGGGATCGTTCCGTCACTCTAAGTAATCCTTCGTTCTCCCCACCCATCGGAGGTCGCCTAGCCTTCTTTGCCTCCAAATGGGAGAAGTCAACGACGTACGCCTGGGTGCTCAGCACTATTAGGTCAGGGTTACAATTGGACTTCCTAACCCCAACCCACCAAAATTTTTTGATCTGTCCTGTGTCTCGGGACATTTCCAGGCAAGCCCTCATGAATCAGGCCATTCAGCACCTTCTTGAAATCAGGGCTATTCAACCTGTTTCCCCGTCTCAACAGGGATGTGGGCTCTCGCCTTTTCATCGTTCCCAAAGCCTCGGGGGTGGCGAGCCATCCTTGATCTAAAATTTCTCAACCAATTTGTAAAATACAGGCGATTTAAAATGCAGACTGTGCATTCTATTTTAGAGAGCGCTCGGGAGGGCGACCTCCTCTCTTCCATTGATCTCACTGAGGCTTACCTCCACATCCCAATTTGGCCTCATCATCGCCAGTTTCTCCGTTTCTGTTATCAGAATACCCATTACCAGTATGGAGCGCTTCCCTTCGGCCTCTCATCGTCTCCAAGGGTCTTCACAAAGGTTCTGGCAGCATTGGTGGCATCTCTGCGTTCTATTCCAGTGAGGATCCAATGCTACTTGGACGACATTTTGATTCTTTCCTCTTCCATCCTTGCGGCCCATTGGGATCTGCAAATTAGCCTGTCATGTCTCCAGAGCCACGGATTTTCCATCAACACCAAAAAGAGCCAGCTCTCTCCTACAACCAAATTGCAACACTTGGGAGCAGTCATCGATACCATGTCGTGCCAGGTTTTCCTGTCCCCAGCTCGTGAAAAGAGCCTTGCAGAGATCATCAGCCAGATCCAGCAACATCAAATTGTCCCCCTGTCGCTGCTGTCCAAACTTCTGGGGAAGATGGTTTCCTGTAATGGCATTGTCCCGTGGGCTCAGCTCCACTCCCGAGCCCTCCAATGGTTCCTGCTTCCCTACCAACGAGCAGGAACCAGCCACTTATCCATCAAGGTCCCACTCCTGCCACAAATCCGGAGATCTCTCAATTGGTGGCATTCCCCATCTATCTGGAGGGGACTTCTGTTCAGGGACCCAGACAGGCTAGTGATAACCACCGATGCCAGCCTCCTGGGTTGGGGTTCCCATATGCAGGGCCAGATAGCTCAAGGCGTTTGGTCCAGATCGGAACAGACCCTTCCCATAAATTGGCAAGAGCTCAGAGCTATTTTTCTGGCTCTCAAGCATTTCAGGCAATCAGTGACCGGCTCTCATGTTCTAGTCCTTACGGACAATATGGCTGCAAAGGCTCATGTCAACCGGCAAGGGGGGACGAGGTCCAAAGCCCTCATGAGAAAGGCTCTACGGCTGGGGTTATGGGAAGAGAAACACCTGTTATCGATCTCGGCAGACCACATCTCCGGGGTCGACAACTCCCAGGCCGACTGGCTCAGCAGGAGCCTAGTCGACCAGACAGAATGGTCCATTCCTCCATCTCTATTCAGGGATCTTTCCCTCAGATTCGGAACACCAGAGGTGGATCTTTTCTCCACTCCTCAAAACGCCCAAGTCACCAGATTATTCACCAGGTTTCCTTGCCAGGGAGCGGAGGGGACCAATGCTCTTTGGTGCAGATGGCCCAAGGGTCTCCTCTACGCCTTTCCCCCGCTGCCCATCATTCCGGCAGTAATTCAGAAGATGTTGGAGGAACATGCGGAGCTCCTCCTCCTGGCACCCTATTGGCCAAGGAGGCCCTAGTTTGCTGGACCTGGTCAACCTATCGGTGGCTTCTCCTTGGAGGATCCCTGCCTATCTAATCTCCCTTCACCAGGGGGCCCTGCTCCACCCAGAGCCCCAGTGGTTCAAGCTGACCGTGTGGCACTAGAGCGGCAGCGGCTAGAGGAGGCTGATCTTCCAGAAGGGGTCATCCTCACTATCCTGGCTTCTCGCAAACCTTCTACAAGGCGCATCTATGATGCCACCTGGAAGGCTTTTTCCCGATGGTGCCTCAGGGAGGGTCTTTCTCCTGCTTCAGCCCAGTTGGCAGAAGTTCTTAGCTTCCTTCAGCATGGGCTGGAGAAAGGTTTGGCCCCCAACACCTTACGCAGGCAGGTTGCGGCCCTCTCCTCAGTCCTTTCATGGGGTTCGCTTCCTTCCTTATCCCATCACACTTCAGTCAGGAGGTTTTTGAAAGGGGCTTCCAACCTGCACCCTCCGGTGGTTCACAGGTATCCTTCCTGGGACCTTCATTTGGTCCTTAATGCCCTTACAAAGCCCCCCTTTGAACCCCTTAGAACAGTGTCTCTCCGTTTCCTGACTCTGAAGGTAGTGTTCCTTGTTGCCATCACTTCTGCAGGAGGGTTTCCGAGCTTGCTGCTCTTTCCATCAGACAGGACCTTTGTTCCTTTCACGATGATAGGGTTGTTCTTCATCTGGACCCCTCATTTATTCCGAAGGTTAACACCTGGTTTCACAGGTCCCAGGACATTGTTTTGCCTGACTTCTGTCCTCTCCCGCACCATGACTTAGAGCGGCAGTGGCACACACTAGACATAAGAAGGCTCTTAGAATATACATTAAGCGCACTTCCTCCTTCAGGAAGTCCTTTTTCCCTTCTCACTTGGGGCACAAGGCCTCTTCTCCTACTATTAGCAGGTGGGTCAGGTCTTGCATTGAGCAGGCCTACAAAGCTGCGGCCCTTCCGGTTCCCCGAGGTCTGACGGCGCACTCTACTAGAAGCACGGCCACTTCTGCCTGGGCGACCCAAGCATCCTTGGAGGAGATTTGTCGTGCGGCCACGTGGACATCCCCGTCTCCTTTCATCAAACACTACCGTCTGGATGCTTTTGCCTCGACGACTGCAGCCTTCGACAGACGGGTGCTTCAACGAGTGGTTCCACAGTCGGTGTGATGAGCCAGACGAGGACCCGCCCCTGGACATGCAAGCTTTGGTATGTCCCATCCTGGGCTCTTGATGCAGCATGGAGGAGAATGGGCGTTGGTAGAAGTTACCATGAACACCCTTTCTATCTATGCTGCGAGAGAGTCCAGCCCCTCCTTTGATTCATCCGGAGTGGGTAAGACATATTTCTGTATTTATTTTGGGCTTTCAGAGACACCTTTCAGTCTGTCAAGTAGCTTCGCCAAAGCTGGGGTCTCTCCCGGGGCTGGCTTTTATATCTTAGTACAGACTCAGCTATGACATCATAGGAAGGAGTCAACCCATCCTGGGTTCTCTCGCAGCATAGATAGAAAGGGCGTTCACGGTAACTTCTACCAACGCCCAGTCTTTGTTCACTTTTTTCAGTGCCATTGCATCTTCAAATGGCTGTTAAATGAAAGGTTGTAAGTCCAAGACCATCTGTGACCACCTTTTGGGTACAAATAATCTAGCACTCAATATTGTTTTTACTTATTATTTTAGTTGTGGAGATTCTCAGTCGTCCAGATTATGGTTGACCCAAACGTGCTTTTTCAAAAGGCAGCTGAAGTTTATTTGGTCTTATTTTTTCCTTGAAGACGTTTCACTTCTCATCCAAGTAGCTTTTTCAGTTCATAGTTATTGTTTTAGTATTTTTTTCTTTCATTTTTTTAAACTAAAACCATTTGCATTTATTTCAGATAATGATAAATAATGGTGATATTAATAAAACTAGCTATATTTTAAGTTTTGCAGGGATTTGCAGATTTCTAATATGAATTTGTTTTATATGATCAATTATTTAATTATTCAAATAATGAAACAATGAATTTTAAATATAATTATAAATTTTGTTTGTTTACAGGTATTTTATCTTCTATACACTGCCTTTTCTAATTTACTTTTTTGTGTGCATTAATTTGTTTCAGTCTTAAATGCTTTAAAATATTTTTAATAAAAACATTTTAATAGTTCAGTCAATCATCTGCCTTGTCATTACTTCTCTAATATTGATTTGGTGCTACATTGTGTTTTCAGTTGCAGAATAATATTGGAGTTGAGTATTAAATATGTTTTCATTTGACGATATCTTCAGAAATGTTTTTGTTACTTATTTCTTATTTTTGGCAGAGAAATTTTTCAGTTTCTGTAAATAGTGCTGCTGTCCTACGATTGATGGGACGAGGAGGAGGAGGAACAGTGGTAGGGGCTCCCCGAGGTCGAAGTTCCTCTAGAGGTCGAGGTGAGATTTTTTAAATAAACAAAATGTTATGGGTTTTTTAAAGAATTAAACAAGATATTTTTGCTATAAATATACCATAATTTTTTTTTCTATTTTGAATGAAAGAAAAATGAAAAATTTTTTTTTGCCAATACAGAGAATGTATCCCTAACAATGGAAAGTTAAAAATATATAATATGAGAAAAAAATGAGTACTATAATGCTGAAGAGTAATTCATGTTTCTAGCCAATGCTCAATTGTTCTAATGTACTAATATTAAACATATGATCTATCTAGAAATGAAGATAAAATGAAATGGCTTTATTTCTGGAATGTTTTAAACATATTCTTAAATGTTTCAGTTGGAATGTGGAAATAAACTATTTCTGCTCTCATTGGATAGCGTAGTCATCTAAAACCTGCCAAATGAGGATCTGGTATTCCTGTCAGAGCAGTGGTTATGAAATCTGAAATTGAGGGAACTTTTGGTCTCCCCTTGTCATGGTCAGATCTCACACTGATTACCATGGGATTCTCTGACACCGTCATCCACTACAGAGACGCCAGACCATGAGATCAGTTAGCCCCGAGTAACTGATAGACCCTGATGGGCTTCAGAAGAAGATGTTATTCTCACTGGTCTGTTGCATGGTTAATCTGAAGCGTTGGTCATCACTTCAGAATAAGATGATGGCTGAGGCCTTAGATCAGATTGTACCTATGTGACCTATCCCCTCTTTTGGATCACTCCCTGTGGTTTATGGAAGAGTTAAGACAGATGAAATGAGAGAAGAGAAATGTGAAATGTTACTGGCATTCTGCAGGGGATGAACCTGACCAGATAAGGGTTAAAGCCACTATAAGGCCTACCTTTTGGTGGTAAGCAACAATATTTCTCCACATTAATTATGTTTGTGGATAGCCATTTTGAAGCCTTGTTTCATGTAACCGTACCCTCAGAGAACCATTTTCAGGAGTGTGCAGAAGAATTTATTTAGTATCTGCCAAAGTCATTAGCTCTCACTGTTGCCGGTCTAGGGGAGATGCCTGGTCTGTCTTGCCTGGTTATCTGGAATCAGTTTGAATATATTGGGCCTGTCAAAGTGTACAGGTTCCTTAAGATTGTGAGTTCAGCCACCTGCTATTTTAACTCTTAATATTTTAATTTTTATATACTGTTTTTATAAGTTGATATTTTGTTGTACATTGCCCAAAGTCCTTCTTTGAGAGAGATCGGCAGTTCAGAAATGTGAAAACCTGCGAATGCTATGCTGTATGAAGCCCCACTCCTTTTTTGTAGCTTTTAGTGTCCACCCTAAGTATTTAATTGCTGAAATTTGGAGCAGATTGCCTAATAATAGGACAGCTTCTCTCTAATTTCCAGCAGAAAATAAAATATTTGCTAAACCATCTTAACAAGTTGTAACATATTTGTAAAATGGAAAAGAAATGTAGCTTAAAATCCAAGTCCCAGTTCCTGTGAAGTTGCAGCATCACCACCTTGCTCACTTCAGTTCATAATTGTATCTGCCTATTTCTACGTTAAGGAGTGTTTCTATGATTGATCAGCAACCATCCTCACCCATGCTTATTTACTTGCCTCTTTCTTTAAATCTGTTCATATTGTGCTCAGTACCACAAATATAACCAAGATGCTTTATCATTCTTTAAAGATAAATAATAAATGTTACAAGTCAGGCAGAAGAAAGTTGATTTCAAAGTTTTCTTTATATGCTGGCATGTTGATGTTACAGGACTTGGCTTTACTTGCTTGTTTCGTCAGAGATAGAAGAATGAGATGTTTGGTTTGAGAAATGGAAGAGTAATATATTGAAAATGTTTATAAAAATAAAATGGATAGTCATGGTGAGAGAAGTGCTGAGATCTCAGCACTGTCACACTGCCAACAAATACTTTTCTTTGATAAATTGTCAGTCAAGGCCCAGTGGTTGACTGTCTCTCATGTAGGTTTGCTGGGTAATATTCAATTCAGCAAATGACTAGATTGATAGAAAAGAAGTTGAGAGTTCTGTCTCTATATGAAGAATATTTAAAAGAAATCACATAAGCTGGGTGTAGGTTAGATAGGGAATCTATGCCACGCTTTCCCAATTTGAGTGCCTTTTCAATAAATGGACATTACTAAGAGCTAAGCCCCTGTATCCAGAGAGCACCAAATTAAGGAAGACTTGTGTAGAAAAATGAAATGGATGATAGAGATGAACTATATTTTCATACCCTTCCTCCACTAAATTTGTTAGGGGGATATAACATTTGTACCTTTCAATATGTCTCATCAATATGTCTCATCTTTATATCTGCTAAATAATATTTGAATTCAGTTTTGAAAATTGTGAAAGGTACAGTAATGAGGAAATAGCTGTTTTATCTTTTAGGCAGAGGTCGAGGAGAAAGTACTTTCTACCAAAGAAGTTTTGATGATGTGGAAGGTGGATTTGGAAGAGGAGGGGGCAGAGAAATGCATAGGTCACAGAGCTGGGAGGAAAGGTAATTCTAAAATCATATACTATAATGAAATGTTTTCTTTTTAAATGGAACAGTCCTGGCTGTGCTTTGATGTTCATGCCTTGATGGAATTTATTTCTAAGACTATATTTCTTAAAATATTAAATCAGAATGTGTCTCTATTTGTGTTTTTGAAAATATGCTTTATTTTATCACAACTTTTGTACTTTTAATGTATATTATACTGAGTAATTTTACTACAGATCAAATTATAAGTGAAGAAGTGAATGAATTTTAGATTTAGCACTGGTAGCAGATCCTATCCCAGAGAATATTCATAATAAAATAATTTTAGAAATAGTCCTAAGATTCTTATTATTCTTAAGAAGTATGGAATCACGAGATCCAGATTATGTTGTAAAATATTTCACTTTAACAAGATATAAAATATTATTTACTTAAATAAGTATATTAAAATAGAAGGTATTATCTAATATTGGTGATTTAGAGAATTATGTAAAAAATTTATTCCTTAGAAATTATATTATTGATGGTTTTCTGAGAAACATAGAGAGTATGAACAAGAATTGAACTAGCTAATAGTTCCTGTGTATCCTGGAAATCTGTGTTGATATTCAACAAACAACAGTATGTGGACTCAAAAGGTTTTTAGATTTGTTTCAATACCTGTGGCATTGGAAAAATGTCATGTGAATCTGTAGTGCAAAGGAACAAACAATTATATTATGGGAGAAAAACATTATGGGAGAAAATAATCGAATCATATATAATTTAAATATAAGGAGAAACAAGCATGTTATGCATGTTATGCATGTTATGTATTAATGTGCAGTAAAGTAGGATAAATGTATTGATAATATGAATTAATTCTAAGAACATGTTTAATATAACTAAATATTGAAAAAATTGATATAATGCAAAGTGTTTTAATGTTCATCCCCAGAACAGTTTTCATTGTTCTGTCTCCATACATTCTTGAATTTCTAGCTTGAATTTTCTTTTTAAGTTTTGAAAATGAAGTATTTCTCCTTAAAAAAGCATTATTGTATATTTGTTTTTCTATTTTTTTAGGGGAGACAGAAGGTTTGAAAAAACAGGCAGAAAAGAACCAGGTATGTAGGGTCTTTTCTCTGAAAACTTTAGAGGTATAACAGTTGATATTCTCTGTAGTCAGGAGTTGTTATTTGAATTCATATATTTGAATATTAAATTATCCAACCCAGGAATATCGTTTCCTTGTGCAAATAACCTTCCCATCTGGGCACTTCACGTATTTGGAGCCTTCCCAGATTAGGGAATGTTAAGTTTTGGAGCCTTTAAATAAATTGTATATTGTCATTTGAAAAAAAACTGAGAAGAGTCTGTTTGGGGGGCACAGTTGCACTGATTCTTATTACTGGGGTGCCTTACATCTCTAAGTCATGAAAGTCTTTGAGCAAGTCATTCTCTCTCAGCTTGATCTATCTCACAGAAGTAATAGCTATGCTAAAATAAGAGGAAAGGCAAAGGGAATAGAATATGATCTTGAAGGACAACAGGAAGAACCCATTACTAAGATAATGCTCAGACAAACACAGATTGACCCCATTCCAAGAAACAAACATACGAAAATATCTCAAACAGCCCTTACATGAGAATAAAACGAGGGAGGAGAAAAGCACATTCATACTTTTTAAGATTCTGTTACTATAGTTGTTCTAATAAAAGGAGTTTTCAACCCATATGGCATTTTTGTTAATCAAATATAGAACTGAGAAATATTATATATGATAATTTGAGAAACTGAACAAAGGAAATATTCACTGCTAAAGTTTCTAGAATAAATACTAGACCAAGAAACAGACCACCTAAAAGATACATGAGGATTTTTCCATTAATAATTATACATGTGTGAAAGTCAGTACTGGGAGATCCAAGAATACTTTAAAATATAATGAATTTTATAAGAAGAAACCAATGAAAACAAGGGGCTGAAATGAAGACAGGATTGAGGGAGAAATTACTGATTTCCTGTTAGAGGAAATTATATTAGTCCACTCAATTTTATTTTGAAATATAGGGTAAGCGGAGATTCTGTTGGCGAGTAAAGATCGTCAAATCAGGAACATTACAATAGTCAGAAGAAAATTTTGATGACAAGGTAGAATGTTGATTATAGGCACATGGAGGTGATAAATGAAGAGAAACAAACTAGCATGCTAAATCTTACACATTCTTATCAGAGAATAAAAGTTACTGAGCTCAGTGGGACTTATAAATAAGTATGCATGTTTCCTTGTGCTTGCATCCACACATAGAGACCAATTATTAATCTGTTTCTTTTTTGTGAGGGGAAAAAGATATCTTCCCCATTGTCAATAGAATAAAATGAATTAAATAGGTTTATCCCCATTATAGCAATGTTCTCTGTATACCTATCTGGGAGTGAAAACCACTAATTTTAGTGGAGTTTACTATAGAGTAGGTATACATATTTTTCTGTTTGCTGAGCCAGATTTCCAGAAACAGTTCCTTTTTTTCTGTTTAAGTATATATATTTAACTTAATTTTAAGATTAAAATGAATCTTAAATAATTACTGATTAAAATTATTTGGCTATAAAATAAGATATTCAATTTATAAAATTAATTGATTTTCTTTTTGCCTACATGTACCGTATGTGTGTTGTGTGTGTGTGTGTGTGTATGTGTGTATATATGTATATGTATGTATATATATATATATATATATATATATATATATATATGTATGTATGTATGTATGTATGTATGTATGTATGTATGTATGTATGTATGTATGTATGTATGTTTTCTTAAGTTTTCGTGGGTACTTACATGTATGGTATTCAGCTTTGTTCTGGTATGACGTGGGAAAATACCCGAACAAAGCTAAATACTGTGTGTGTGTGTGTGTGTGTGTGTGTGTGTATAAATTACAAAATAAATATTTTACAGCCAAATAATTTTAATCAGTGATTATTTAAGATTTTTTTTTATCCTAGCATTGCCCTTTATTAGATATGGTTTCTATCATGTACATATAAACACCCATAAGAATTATTGCATATGTAAATTTTTAGAGAAAGGAATCTCTTGTTGGCTTCAGTAGCAATTGGCAATCCTATTTGACAAAATGAGAAAGTTGGGCAATGTGAAGTATTTTTGTGTGCAATATTTCTTTTGTGGATTGTCTTAAATCCAAGATCATCTTAATTTCAAATAAATGTAATCATTTAAGATGTAATCCTGAATTCTTTTGTGGCTTAAAAATACCTCTTTTAATTATTTAGTGGGCTGTTTTATTTAGAATTCACATTCCTAATTTTTCCCATATTAGTTCCATACAGTAGGCTAATTTGGAAGGTTATAATGTCAAAACTTCAAGCTTGAGTGAGGATTTTAACTAGTTTCAGTAAGAGAGTTAAGTTATATAAATACCTGTGGCTATTTGCACTAATCTCCAAATAATGCATTCAAGGTAGTAGTATAACTGGGATTAGTAAAACTAATGTAGAATTAGAATTATCACTTTATGTTTGAAGTCTGAGTGCCATTTGTACTTGTTCATGCTGAAATTGTCCAACCAAATAATTTTTTTTTCAGCATAAGCACTTTTCTACAAAACCCTTTTAACAGTATCTAAAATTGCTAATGTTGCATTACAAGAACAAGTTGCTTTTGTTAACTAATATTTAAATTGTGAAAGATTTGAGGCAAATAAAATTAATGCTTCTACTTGAATTTGGAAGCATGTGACATTTTATCAGGACTGTTTACTTGTAGTTTGAAAGTTTGCATTTGTTTTATTGTACATATCTATATATTAGAACTTCTGTAAAATTTAAATATTATAAAATTAGTATAGTTAAACTGGAATTTGATAAAAATTGGGCTTATAGATCAAAAACTTTTATAATCACTATGTTGTAGAAGGGAGACAGTTGTTGAAAGTGATAGATAAAAAGGTAAAGTACAAATGCAATTTAATGAATTTTCAAAGTGATAATTACTACTGCTGTTTGGTTTCTGCATTGAGCTAAGCCATAATCACAGTACTCAGTAAAAGAAAAGATTAAAATCTCAGCACAGACAAGGGCAAAATTACTTCCAAAACATTGTAAGAGAACATGAGTTTAGTGGTATATTGTGATGATATTCCAGATTATTTTTTCTAAAGCATGGTTTGTCATGACTCTCACATCTATTTTCTTCAGTTGTAAAACACAATTTATCCATCCTGAGAATATGGTATGATTACGCTTAAGATTACATACATGAATATCATTAATAACCTTTATAAAATATTGGATCTCATATGCTTTAAAAACTTAGCAGCTTTGAATTGGCAGCTAACATCATTGTGAAATTAATTAATTGTCTAGAGCCCTATCATGTTCCCAGTTGACCATAGCTTCCATAATTGTCAGGTATAACCCATTCCTTAGTTTTGGGGGAATAAGAATAAGCTTCATAAAAAGGACTTTATAATTGGTAACAAATCTCAACAGTAAAACAAATCTCAACAGCAACACCAGTATATACATATAAATACATTTATCCAAGTTCAAGAGCAAAAAACTAAATTCTTCATAACTGTAAGTTAGAAATGAAGCCATTTGAAAGTAAAACTATTAAAACCTATACCATGTTCTTCTGAGAAGAATCTTTGTAATCAGCCTTTACATAAAAGCACTTGGAAGTTCTGATGATGCTTTGTAGTCTTTCTTATGTGTGTATACATAGGAGTTATTGATTTTTCCAGCTGAAAAAAGGTTGAAAATTCACAAAATGTTTTTTTTAAACTGAGAAACAGCAACAGTATTAGTTCTGATAAACTGTTCTGGTAATAGTCATGAATCAGTTGGCATAAGGTCTATTGCTCAAAGTCTGATAATTAGATTTCATGTTTGCACAATTATTTTGTCAAGTCTAATGTTTATCTGCACTTAATGAACATAGTATGAAAAGATAAATAATTGTGGGAAATAGCGGGCTTTTCTGATAGAATTACCTTGCAAGACCGAAAAAGAAGAATTATTCATGACAGAAGAATTATGAACACATATCGATGTTTCCTGATGTCTGATAATGTCCCAATGCAGAGTATTAGAGTCCAATATATCTTAAAATTCTTATCGTTCATTTTCATCACAAAACTGCCTAGGGATGTTGAACTTGTTCTTAGCTGCTGGAACAAAGAGATTTGGCAAATGCTTGCGATTTTCCTTAATAAACAAGCACAGCAGGATTGCAATTTCAGTGCCACAGAAAATACTAGCAACATTCTTCATAGCATGTTTAGGCATCAGCATATTCTGTTGTAACTGTATAGCAAGGAAAGGTTAATTTGAGGTCCTATGGGACCTTGAGAATTTCAGGTGACCATTCTTTTTAGAGGAGATGTTTTTAATAAAGTTGCGTTCATTTTTCCATAGTATTAATCCTCATGTCATTTAATTAGTTTCCTTGAACAGCTCTCTGAATTTAACAGTCTTCTATTTTAGGTCAGTGCAGTTTAATCATAGTCCACTGAATTTGGCAGGAAGTTTTGTTGTTGTTGTTGTTGTTTTCTAAGGATTTGTGCAATGGTTTTTGTCCCTGACTTTTTTTGCAATTCTAGTGGCTCATCCAGTATAATGGATACTATGCTCTTTGTTCTGCACATTGTTCTAAAGTCAAAGGTACTCATAGAATAAAACAAATATGAGAAAATAAGAGAGGATAAAGACAGCATTGATGTGATAGTGGCATTTTGTTGTGTTTAAAAAGTGGCACACAGTCACAGTTTAGTCTGTCATCTGTGTCTCACAGATTTGGAAGCTGTCAATGTGCTGTCCATTGATGCGAATCTCCATTTCAGTCCTTTTTGACCTTTTAGTGTCTGTTGCTGGAAGTTCTGGGATTGTTTTATCAAAATTTTCCATTTTGATTTGATATTCCCCTTTGGCGCCACGAGCTAGCATAGAGGCAAAATGGTGATGTAATACAATCTCTGACGGGAGATAGGATGTCCTCCTTTGACATATCTCCCCTGTGCCCTCTTGGGTGGCTGAAAGGAAGACTACTAGCTCAAAGTGATGATGAGCCTCCGTTTGTAGAAGAATGGCTAGAGG